GGATATAACCTTGATGGCAATTTTCTTATTGTGGATTATTATCCTTATTCCCTCGACGCTGAAAATTATTACGATACTGGTTTTTGTTTTCTTTTAGTTCTTTTTCGTTGCTTTTTTATCTTATCTTTTATCTTCAAAATCTTTTCCGAACTATATTCATACGAGTATTACTTCTTTACATTTGCATGACTGGGTCTTGTTCCTTGTTTCCTCTCTCTCTCCTTCTCTCTCTCTCTTTCTTTCTTTCTTTCTCTCTCTCTCTGTCTCTCTTTGTCTGTTTCTCTCTCTCTCTCTCCCTCTCTCCCCCCCTCTCTTTCTCTCTCTTCCTCTCCCTCTCTCTCTTCTTCTCTCTCTCTCTCTTTCTCTCTCTCTCTCCCTCCCCCCCCCCCCCCTCTCTCTCTCTCTCTCTCTCTCTCTCTCTCTCTCTCTCTCTCTCTCTCCCTCCCTCTCCCGCCCCTCTCTCGCTCTCCTTCATTTGTGGAATTTTGCATAATGATTATGGATAATGATTATATAAAATGATGCAAAGAGAGAACGCAACAAGATAATATGAAAAAAATGTTATGGATATTGAATTGTACGTATACGCGCGTGCATGCGCGTTTCTCTCTCTCTATTTATCTATCTATCTATCTATATATATATATGTATATATATATATACTCATACACACACACACACATAGATATGGATATGTGAATATACATATGCATATATCTATTCTTATACAGATATGCATCTATGTACATACATATACATAAATATGTTTATATATGTATATACCTATTTATCTATCTTTTTACATACATACACATACACACATCTGTATATGTATACACACACACACACACACACACACATATATATATATATATATATATATATATATATATATATATATATAATTTACATATATATCTATATATGTAATATATATACTATATATACATATGCATATTACATATATTATATATATATATATATATATATATATATATATTTTTTTTTTTTTTTTTTTTTTTTTTTTTTTTTTTTCTTCCTTCATTTCGTCTTGAATATAATCTAGCAGTAAGTAGGACTGTTATAACAGGGTGGTAGAAAATTCTTCCTTCTGGTGCAATTTCTTCAGTCTTCACTTTTTTTATCCATTTGCATCCTTTACTTCTTTTTTTCTTGTTCTTCTTCAAGTGCAATACCTCTTTTTGACGAATTTATATTGTTTACTTGTATATTGTTCTTGTGCATAGCCTTCATGCCTTTAATATTACCATATGTTTTCAACAAAGAGAGATAGAGAGAGAGATAGATAGATAGATAGAGAAAGAGAGAGAGAGAGAGAGAGAGAGAGAGAGAGAGAGAGAGAGAGAGAGACAGAGAGAGACAGACAGACAGACAGACAGAGAGAGAGAGAGAGAGAGAGAGAGAGAGAGAGAGAGAGAGAGAGAGAGAGAGAGAGACAGAGAGAGAGACGGCCTCATTAAATGATATTGAATTTCAGACAATACACGCAAAACATTATCACTATCCATTGTAAACATAAGCACTGTATTCATTAGTATAATTAGCATCATTATATCAACAACAATCACTCTTCCAATTAATAACCATTACCAGATTTATGGGTATCATAAGTATCAGACTATCATCATCCTTACTACTCCTTACATAATCACAACATGACTGTCATATATTGTAATTATCATTGTCAACATTTTTATCATTGTCATTATTATCATCATTACTATCATCTTTGTGGCATTGCTAACATAGCTGTCAATATTATCAACATTACTATATTACGAAAACAAACCAACAAAAAAATCAGAAAACGGCATTTATTATGTACAAGAAAAGTAGTTCCAATGATTGCAGTAATAGTATTACTCTTACTAAAAATGTTATTAATACCACTAAAGTTGTTATATTACTATTATCGTCATCGTTTTCCCTACAAATAACTTGGTTATTTTTTTGTTAGCATTATCATCCCGTTTTCATAGTTATTATGATTATTAATGGCACCATTAGCATCATTAGTAATATTATTATTGACAACGGCAAAGTTGACACCATTACTATTATAACATTTTTCTATTCAATCTTCTCTGCGGATGAATTCGTTTAAAAGCTCATATTGATTTATCATATTCTGTAATTGAGTCTGCGTCATCCCTTATATTGTAAAACCAATTTTATAACCAGTTTTATAACCAATTTCGACTTTAATAGACTTCTGTGTTATCTGCTTTCTGAGCATCTATATAAAGTCCTTGTTTTTCCAGTCATAAATCAATCACAATGAATGTATCAATTCTGTAAATCACCAGATGCTCTTATAAAATATACTCAGGTAACGATCCATGCTAAATCGTTGGTTTGTAGGCTTATTGGTGAACGTGTGTCCAGTGATGGTGTAAACATGTAGAAAATAAATTTATTGATGTGCAACAGACAGGAAGAGATAGAAAAATAACAGAAGAGAGAAAAACGCGTTTCTTACTTCGGCTGTCTTCAAGTAGCCCTCAATAAATTTCGCTTCCGTTGCAGAGGGGCTGTGGACGACGAAGAGCACCAAACACGCCCACAGCCACGCCCACTTCGAAGGCCCGGATGAAGTGTAATCCCCCGTCGACATTTTCGGAGGAGTTACGATCACATACAATTCGAGCCACGACGCACAGTTCGAAACGCGGGTTGCTTCGAGCTTCACGCCTTGCCTCGTGGATTCAGGTTTCTCCTCGACGTCTCTTGCTTCAGGGCCAGTCGTCGAAGGTGGAGTCGAACGCGAGGTGAACGAGCGAGAGTGAAGCTGGCATCTCGGACAGGTGAGGTTTCGACGACGAGGTAAAGGCATCAATTCAAAAGAAAGAATCTTATTTCGGGTAGCTTGGATTTTTTTTCTTTTCTTTTCTTATCACACAACTCTCCCATGCAACTTTATCACCAGACTCTTAGCATGTCCCCTGACCGTCTTCACTCAACGCTTCATGATCTGGCGACATCACGAGACTTCGGAAGAGAAACCGCTCACAGACGCCCCGATGTCCACCAACTGACTTCGTGGGAACCTGCTACTTCGACTTCCAGCAGGAGGCTCACCCTCACCCTGGCGTGCAACCTCGCGTCCTGCTTCCTCGCTGGGTCGGGGGTGCGTCTGTGTGTGTGTGTGTGTGTGTGTGTGTGGGCGGTGGGTGGGTGGAGCAGTCCGCGCAGAAAGTAGCGGCACACACAGGAACACGCACAAAGAGAGACACGCACACACGCACGCACAAACGGGAGATGACCTTTTCACAGCTGTGTGATTTCCGCAATTGACACGCAACTCCGACGGAAGTATTCTTTTTATTACTCTTCCCTTTTCGTTTTATTATTATTATTATTATTATTACTATTACTACTATTACTATTATTATTATAACGTCCGACGCTTCCTTAAACTTCACGAAACACTCTTAAAAGAGCAGTTGAAAAAATATTTACAAAAGAATTAGATCCAATCACTTCACATCATGAAAAACAGACTCGTATATTTCATATTCCGAAAATTTCAGATCAGAACTCTCACATTAAGCAGAACAGAAATAAAAACACTTTTGTCACAGGAAAATAACACTCGGATGGAACAACACTTGATAATGTACACTTAAGGAAAATTAGGTATAATGCCCATAATCCAGGTGATCAATATCAGTTTCTTGAAGGAAAGGAGATGCAGTGTGCAAGTGGCCTCTGCGTTCTGAAAAAAAAATATGATAGAAAAAAATTAGTTTTATTAAAAATATGAACTTCTGTCGGGTCAAATAATGTCGTGTTTAATTTGTGGTTTAAGATAAAAGACTGACATCAATTATTTTATGTTACATGACTTATATATATAAAAAAAAATGTTTTACAATAAATAACACATTCTTTTTTTTATCTCATGCTGGCAAAAGATACATCCACTACAACAGGTTGCATTAAAATACATTCAACAAACATATCTAATTTCATATTCACCTATATGTCCACTTTGCATTGAAATATGAACCAAGATTCCCTGACCATTTAATCTCCTAGAATCCAGCATCTACTAAAATCCGAAAAATCTTTTACACACTGAAATGTCGACTGGAATCCGTGAAAAAAAATCTGCTATCCACTGAAATCTCAAACAGATTCAGAAAAATCTGCTACCCACTGGAATCTCAGAGAATTTAAAAAGAACAAAAAAAAGATAACCACTGAAATATCTACTAAAATCCGAAAAAAAACTGCAGCCTATTAAAAACTCAACGAGAATCCGAAAAATCGGTTATCCACTGAACTCTCACTCTCACTCCGAAAATCTACTATCCACTGAAATAAAGAAAATTCGAAAAAAATCTGCTGTTCCATGAAATATCAAAGATAAACCTAAATAAAAAACAATCAAACCGCTGAAATCTCAAAGAAAATCTGAAAAAAACAGCTAACCACTGTAAGTTTTACTAATATCTATTGTCTTGAGAAAATTCCACGAATATACATTATTCATTACTCACATTCCATGTTCAACGAGCTAGTTTATGTGTTCATTTTTTTCATCCTTTCTATTACAAGTAAAGATGAAGTTACTGATTGTGTATTTTTGTTCAGTAAACTTGAAATTGCAATGTAATAATCTCGTAAATAAGCATTGGGGAAACAAAAAATATAACAATTATTCACTTAAACATATACAGCACTTATAATCTTACTTGTCAACATCTGTATCATAACATAACAGCCTTTTACTTATAGTTATTTCTCAGATACATTTGCCAGCTGTGTATATAGACATCTATTATATCTAATAATATTTGGAAATGAAACAACGATGGAACTAAAATCGAAAACACACGAATTTGCTAAAGGTATTCTCGTTAACGTGCTTCTTGAGGCCCTTCTCAGAAACATGAATATAACAAAAAGGTCATATTCGCGTGCTGTGTTCTCATCCTTGCTCCATCTACAGTTTGTTTAGGAGGGATCTTTCGCGTGAATGTCTGTATGTTTATTTTGTGTGTGTGTGTGTGTGTGTGTGTGTGTGTGTGTGTGTGTGTGTGTGTGTGTGTGTGTGTGTGTGTGTGTGTGTGTGTGGGTGTGAGTGTGTGTTGTGTATAAAGTAACTTTCCAACACAGGCAAATGAAGGGAGCACAGTACAGCATGTTTGGTTATATTTTGAAAGGGTGTGGATATCGGAGGTAATATCAATCGTGTCCGACACTTCACGCGAAAAAATTGCCTTGACAATTTTGCATATATTTGCAACACTAATTAAATGAAAGTCATAACTTTTAAATTATTTATTGAAATTAAATTTATCTATTTCTTACTTTCTAAGCAGCAAAAGTACGAATACTAATAATACATTTGGAGAACAGCCACCCAGTTAATGTAGCGCTAGTCCTAAGCTTGCAAATAAAAATGTCTTCAACGCTGCAATATTCAGGATGCGCCAAATAGCGTGAGGACGCTTCTATCTTATCACCAGACTACGTAGCATAGAATTAATAAAAGACAAGAATAGATAGCATGAAGATACTAAAAGACAAGAATAAATAGCATGAAGATGATAAAAGACAGGAATATGTAACACAGATATAATGAAAGATAGAAATACATAGCACGAAGATAAGAAAAGACGATATCCTTGAAGTATGTACTGACCGCCATGAGGGGGGGAGGGGGTGACTGCAATGAGACAGATGTTCGGTGAGGATGACGCAGTATCATCAGCTGTTTTCATCAATACGTTTAAGCCAATCAATTAAAAAATCAATTGCCCCCTATTTCTGATAATTCGCATAGTGTATATCGGCTAACTGTTCATGGAATGTCGAAAATGGGAACAGAGAGGCCATGAAAAAAAGCAAACTAGTCATAACGAACAACGTCAAATAACTGATACGTTGATAATCGAACAGGCGAAAGAAAATTACTACATAAAAAAAATATATATATGGTGGGCCATTGATCTCTTAGTGCCTACTTTCCAGACGCGCTTCCTGGATTTCAAAGATAAAGTTAGAGACAGAACTGGCAACTGGCTAAGGGAACTTAAAAAAAAAAATAAATAAATAAACAAACAAACAAACAAAACACGTGACACATATAACGGCCCGTGCAATCTATAGGGCATTCCTCCCTGACTTCAACTTTCATAAACCTTCCTGATGTCCAGAGTTCCAGTCATCGGACAGAAGGCCCATAGCAAGAGGAAGTCAGAAGAAATGTGTTCATCCCAACTTTGTCCCTCCGCCTCTATATATCTGTCTGTCTGTCTGACGGTTTTGTTTGTTTGTCTGTATTTCTCTGTCTTTCTCTCTCTCTCTCTCTCTCTCTCTCTCTCTCTCTCTCTCTCTCTCTCTCTCTCTCTCTTCTTCTTCTCTCTCTCCCTCTTTCTTTCTCTCTCTCTCTCTCTCCCTCTCTCTCTCTCTCTCTCTCTCTCTCTCTCTCTCTCTCTCTCTCTCTCTCTCTCTCTCTCTCTCTCTCTCTCTAACTCCCTCCCTCCCTCACTTTCTCTCTCTCTCTCTCTCTCTCTCTCTCTCTCTCTCTCTCTCTCTCTCTCTCTCTCTCTCTCTCTCTCTCTCCCTCTAACTCCCTCCCTCCTTCCCTCTCTCTCTCTCTCTCTCTCTCTCTCTCTCTCTCTCTCTCTCTCTCTCTCTCTCTCTCTCTCTCTCTCTCTCTCTCTCTCTCTCTCTCTCCCCAAAAAACAAGGCTCAGGAGAGACATCATGTCCTCCAAGTGGAATGAATATCACAAACACAAGCACATAGAGAACATAAAAAATCTATAAAGGAAACATCAGCTCAAACAGATCATATTGTTCGTTAAGATGCATATGAAAAACGGACTTGCCTAAATATCTCATAAAACACCACATTTAGCATGTTTATTTGTATAAACCATTAATCATAAACCACTACAGGAAGTAGATGTACGAGAAAACGGAGCACTGAACTGGTCAACTAGTTATCAATCAATACCATGGGCCTCACTCTTGACAAAATGGAATTCACCGATGCTATAACCATGCGATAGATTTACCAACCGAGTGTCAATTTGAGTCTTCCTTTGATGTTGTTTACACAAGGGAGTATAAGAAGATAAGATTTTATACTCGCCATAATAAAGAGACTGATGCCACACCAAAACAGAGCTAGAAGATTGTCACGACGTTACAGTAGAACAGCTCAAAATTGCCACTGGGAGGCGAAATATCGACCTATCTACAGCTAACAAATCAAATGTGAGGCAAGAGTTACCCAAAATGCTTGAGGATTCTGGACGCGTGGGCAGGGAACCTTTCTCGACATTTGAATTTTCGAACCACTGTAATCGCTGTTCCACTAGGATTTAACATTAAGATATATCAATATAAAGAAAAAAGTCCAAAATAGCACTAGTCACAAGAGCTCCACGAGGAATGTGCCCTCGTACGCTCTTCCTGTAAAAGGCTCGCTGAAGTCATGTCTCAGAAACAACAACAACAACAAACAAGAAGCTAAAGACCTATGCTTCTCCTATCTACATTAGAGGAAATCGGTCATGAATTCACGACTGCCTCTCATGACAGAACAAACTAGCAGTCGCCAAGTAGAAATGTGGCTTAATAATTGTGAATAATACGTGAATGTAATTTTTGGTGAAAAATGGTTCCATGATTAAATTATTAAAAATAGTCGTGATAACGGCAATACGTGTTCCTTGTTCACCTTTCTTAAACACACTGTAGTGTTTCGTTCGGCTGGAATGAGAAAGGTGTTGTTTAGGGCCATTTCTTTACAAACAGCTAAAAGGAATTCCGTATCTTCTAGCTATGCACATTGCATACAATTATTGATAGTATTGATAGTAATATTAATAATGCCATTAATGTTATCAACAGCAATGACGGCGATGATGGTGATGATGACGTGAACTTTGCATTGTGAAATCAATAAATGATAGTACATTAGTAATGATGGGACACCAATGATGATGATACTATATCATGGCGAATGATAATTTGATAATGATGATCAAGCTTTTTATTTATACTAAATGCTATTAAATGATTATATGGTGATAATAATAATGATAATATTAATCTCACATATTTCAAGCTTAAGTAAGCAGCTGATGCAGGGACAAAACAATCAAATTTAAATATATCCGTCATAA